GTCTACAGCCTTGTGTAATGCTTTGGACAATGTATGATCACCATCAGCCAATTTCGATGTACTTGTGTTCAATAGACGAAGTGATATTGATATTGATGGCCGATGAGCAGCGGCAATAAATCGAGTTAACATTATCGAAGGTGATTGAGGTCAAATATGAAAAAAAAAATATACGAAAAACAGTAGATTCTTGTATATTATCGTATGACGTAGCGAAAAATTGCCATTCGACAATGATAGAGTCATTTTGATAGACGAAATTTTAGTGATTTCATTTTCAGATTTACATTTTCTAACATAGCTCTTCGAATTGTTTCACTTTTCATGAAACAAGGAAAAAAACTTATATGGAATATCGGCCCTCTAGTCTCACCTAATTGGTCAATTTCTTTCACCAATCTAGTAGAACGAACATATATATATGCATGCACTCATTCACATCCATTCATCCATTTGATCCGTAAGTTACTACTTCGTGATTCATCGATTTATTCTTTGCTTGCTTAAATAAATATAGTATATCAATATCAACACTCATTACCAATTTCGTATTTCACAATATGACTCATTATCGTTGAAGAATGTTTTACAGGTAACAGAACACACTCAAGTCATGTGAAATAACTATATTGAAATCATGTAAAAACAAATAAATCATAAACAAATGTCTAAAATCGAAGTGCTACTACGGTATAACTCTGAAAAAGAATACAAGAAAAACAAAAATTTCTATACACAAGTTGACATCAGTCGTGCGATTCTCTTCTATGAATTCGACATGTTTGCAACAAGGCCAAATCATCTCAAGTTCACAATGATTTTCTTGTGGCCGATTAGATATTCAAATAGTGATTTTTGATGGATTGGAAATATGGAATATTGAGATTGAATGTCGTGAGAATCTAATGTTTTTTCAGTGTTATATTAAACAAAGCTTGAGCAGATAATTAATACTGGCTGCTTCTTTTGTCGAAATCTCAAAATGAATGACCGCAACGAACTCAAGTTATAGTGAACTTATTTTTATACTAATAGCAATCATCGATCATACTAATAAGATCTTGAGAATTCTTTCTCGTTCAAGAAGATTCAGTCACTTTTGCATTAAATCTTAAACAGAGAACGTCACCAATCTAGTGATGTCGAATGATGAGTGAATTCGTACGAGAGTTGTTTTTTTTAGTCGAGAAAAAAAAAGAAATAGTTCTTTCGTCTTTAACTCCGCTCCACTTTGATCGATTGACCTTGGATTAGCGCTTAAAATCCGCATTAATAGAGGTCCATCAACCGTAAAAGTTTCAACCAGAACGCTTGAAGTTAAGGTTCACTTTAGCTTAGCTTACTACTTTTGTTGAATGCTGTATCAGAAAAATTTAATATTTTTACTATTGCCTGTTTCAAAAAAAAAGTCGGTGAGTATTTTTTTGAGTAACTTTTGATGGAAACGCATCAAACGGTATTTTACAGAATAATTTGACCTAGTTTTTTCAAGGACTTAAATCGACGTTTTTGAAAACCAACATATTCCGTCAAGTGACTAAGGCCAATTTTCAATAATCAGGTGCGTATTCGAACTGTTAGATGAAGACTATCAAAACAGCGAAAGGTTCAGACTTTTAGATTTATTCGTTCAGGAGTTATAGGCATTCTATTCGAAACTCTTAACCGATTCTTCTATTAATTTCTGTGAAGAAAATCATTTTTGCCTTTTTCTTATTTTAAGAGAAACCAATTTTCGAACAGTAGATATACGCTAATATCGGGAAAATTAAATCACATTTATGAGAGTCTTAAGGTAGCGATTAGGTGACTTCCTTCATCATCAGTATCCTTTATGTTCCGCAAACATCGAGCAACGAGGAGTTCACAACAAATAAAATTTATTTTGTTTTACTTTTATGCTTGTTAAGCTACTATACATTTTATATTTTTTATCTTTCAACACTTTTAGTTTCTTGTGTCTCTTTAGTCATTGAAAGTGCGCAAGTTTTCTTTAGCAACACTTTTCTGGTTTCGTAGAGTGGTACTCATGGGTTCCTCAAATCCAGACATTGTTGTTGATCGATGATGCAACTTTATCATAGAAGCTTCAAAAGGTTTGAATTCTTATAAAAACAAAAACTGAAGTGTCAAAGACCAATAGCTTACAATGAATTGATATTGATCAAACACGATCAACAAAGTATATAAAAAAATACTAATCTGAGTGTTTTCTAGATGAACCTTTTTTTTTCTATTTTCGTCTATGTTCATGTGAAAAATGTAACGATGAACAAATGAAGAAGGAACTGAAGAAGATAAATATCAGACTTCTTCTAGATTACGCAACGAAACTGCATGAATTCTGTACAGAACTTTGATATCCGCGACTGCCATATTTTTGAGGATGAATGAATATGATCGATCAATAACAAGGATACTAATTTAGTACCTTGATAGCAGTGATTTTTGGAAAAAATTTGAAATCCGATCATGTTGGCGCATCAGTGGCAGATTTTCCATCATGATAGGCATCTCTGATACAAAGTCAGTACAATCAGTAATTAATTTTTGAATCTATTTCATATTGATGCCATGAAATTACATCTATATGAATTCGACATTCTTATATTTTTCAATTCATTTGCATTGACAGGATGAATCATTCTGCTTGCTCTTTTAATTCACTAACTATTCAATTTCATAGTAAGAAGATTAATATTCACCAACGAAATTGCTTAGGTTGGCGACCTATGAATGATTTCTTTTTTCTCTTTTGTTCTTGATACAACTAATGAGTAATCAAAGCACATTAATGCTATTTATTATAGAAAAACTTTGCTGGTCGACTCTGTGAGTTGCGTCTCAATTGTTTACAGAGAGTTTTTCTGAACACAGGCGCATGCAAATAGCAAAAAAAAAGAATGAATTGATGTCAGTCAAAAATGATTTTTTTATTAATGAAAACAAGTGTATAGTTTTTTTCTTGCAATTTCAACTCTCTCGAGTACATCTTTAAGAAGGGGACCATTAGGAGATAGTGAACCTTGTCGAATGTTCTGAGCACGTTCGTAAAATGAGAGGGCTTTCGACGAATCTTTGATGCTCTCATACAAACAAGCAATGTTGTTGTACGAAGTAGCCAAATCAAGATAATTTGTAGAAAGAGCATCCTTACATATTTCAAGGGCTTGTTTGTTATATTCAATAGCCTTTTGATATTCGCCTTGATTGTTCTAAATATATCCAAGCTGATGATAATAATGCACTTTTGTGATTGAATCGGATGTCTGTTCCAATAGTACTGTTTAAAGTCCTTCGGCCTTGTTAAATTGGCCTATTGTGAGTAGCAATTTACTCAACCGTATCCAATCTGTCGAATCTCACGTCTTCTTTTGTATATGTTCAGTAAGTTCACAGAGGTGTTGATCATCATTCGACGTAAGTATAAGGTTTACTTGATAAAAAGACTGATGGTTGTTGATTTGTTTAAAATCATCGATTCGAAAGACAATGTGTATAGAGAAAAGAATTTCTTCTTCTGCGTTGGAATGACTCATATCTGAGATGGATACAAAAGGAGCCGATGAGACCGTCAAATCAATCAACATTTGGAAGAACATTCCCACAGTATTGGCTTTCGAGAAGGCATTCTGGACAAAAACAAAAGAAACTTCTCGTTTCTTACTAGTCATTCAAAAATGATTGCAGTGTTCAATACATATCATTAAGTTATATCTATACACGAATGATACCATTTGTAGTTTATAACACATATGTATAGATCCAGTTTTTAGTAAATTTTATCCACAAAAGTGAGTAGACCCATTGTAAACTGGGCATTCCTATGAGAATATGAAAGTCTCTTTATTCGTCGTACTTATTATTTTAGAAAACTCAATCTTAAAAATCGATATGACGTTAGACGAAGGTTTACTAAGCTTCAAAAGACTTGCCCTAGTACTGTCTACTAGAGAAAGAGTCAATACTCTTGTCAATATATTATTTAAGTTAATGTCTATGAAACTCAGATCGGCCATACAGTAATAACGGGTGCATCAGAACAAATGAGTCTCTCACTATTTTCTCAATATATCTATTTATTTTAGTAGTTATAGATTAAGTTTCTTCTTAAATAATTCAGTATTCAATTCTCTACAAAACCATAGACGATTGTCTACTATGCAATTAAAAGCAAAAAAGACATTACGAATATGTATCATTAACAACTTTGAAGTACAAATCGGCAAATTGATCTGCTTCTTTTTCCCACCATTAAATCACTGTTCAGATGTCTCGAAATTGCACATAGTGAATAATGTATCAACTTAAAATATTGATAGAGAAATTAGTGTCTAGACAACAAATCTGAATCTGACATATGAAGTCTTTTTTGCTTGAACCTAGTTGCGAAAAACAAACGTTTATTCGGATTTAAATAGAATTTGATAGCATGACTAGATTCGTTTTGAATAGAAAAACAATGATTGCTCCGAAAAAAGGATTTACAAATGGGTTACATAAATTTTACAAAAATACTAAACGCTATGGTGTATAAATGGTTCTTTTTATGAAAATCAATAAACTTACTTGTATGATTACGCAAAAGTTACAACATGTATAGTGGCAATGGCAAAATAAGATGCTCATGGCGTGTGAAATAGATGAGCCATGCATTTGTTGTGTTATTCTTGTTTGTATTTGACAATTAACATATATGAAGAATAACATTGTCTTGCAACCGTCTTTCCTACTGAAAAACTACCAAGAAAAGAAAAAGATTGATGCGAGTTGTTTTTCGAATAAATTTCACGAATCAAAAGAATAAAAACTTCAGTATTCTTTTGTGAACGAGGCATTCTGATTAGAATGTCCCATTTCATCTATTTATTATTATTCAAATAGTAAAAAAGGCACTCTAGTACAATTAAAATTTGGACAATCTTGCACAGATTCATATTAATTTATTGAGTTAATTTATATTAAAAATCAATTAGGCCACCCAAGGTCTTGCTGTCGCATTACGGTTTGTCGGCATTCGCCCTTGATGTCATTGGAATTTCAGCAGTGACTTCAGAATTTTGAGCTACTACTTTAGGACGCGCTTTGGTTTTTTTTATAAAGTAGACAACACCACCAATGACAGAAAGCAAAGCAGGAATACCAAGACCAAGTGACAGACCAAGAATAAGACCCAAATTATTAGATGGTGCTAAAACGAGAAAATAACATAGATGAAAAACACTATGAAAAATTTCGTTGCTCACGTGGAGGTGGAGGCTCAGCTGTTGTTGTTGTTGTTGTTGTTGTTGTTGCCGCTGGAGATTGAGACGTAGTTGTTACTGAAGTAGTCGTCGGACTAGTAGGTGGTTCGGTCATATCTAAATAATTTTCAAACATTACTTTATGTTTTTCATATTTCTTTTCCCATGTCGTGTTATTTACCTCGACAATTTCGGTTGTATATTTCGATATTATCCAATGCAAAATAGATTGTTTTGTTCAATGCAGGATCAAAGGTTCGATTTTCATTTGTAACTTCAAAATGAAACATCAACTAAAAGCATCCATAAATTCATTGTACCTTATTTTTCATTTAAAAAAATGATTACAGTATAGTTAGCAAATATTGCATTGAATGTTATATTTCTTGAATACCAACGATTTTCTACCATATCAACAGCTGAGACTTGATCAATTTCGGTTTCATTATCAGATTTAATGAGGACCGAAATTCTTTGACCCCAATCAAGTTGATCATAAACAGTGATGTAATACCAGTATAGAAGACATCGTTCTTCAACAGATTTCTGTATCATCATTCCTTCATTAATCGACTCAACGATAGTTTTATCTGATTCCCAAGCGTCAATAGTGATCAAACCATAATTGCCTAAAAAAGAAGAAATATCGATGTATAACTTGCAGAGTCTGTGTTGATAACATTCGATGAAACTAAAATTGTAATGAATACTTGAAATTTCAGTATTTTATCAGTTCTTGTACCCCTTATAGAAAATTCATCATTTTGACTATCTTGATTAGATTCTTATATTAAGTGTTGTGTTTCCTTGAAACAATAGCTTTACCTAATGTACAATTTGCTAACACTTGATTCTTAGTTGGACATTGATTCATGTAGCAAAAATTCAAATCCCAACTTGTTGTATTTGTACTATTATCTATTAGTGGTCGATAAGGTATATCGCATGTTTCATTATTATCTGTTGGTTCATCTAAAATACTCATTTATTGATAGAAAATTTTTTGAATGAAAGAGAAAGATGAACACTTACCAATAGAAGTAACATCAGAAAGAGGAAATCGAGGTGGTTCATTGATGATATCGACAGAAGTGAATTCGCTTCCATTTCTAATAAGAAGTTCACTATTTGCAAAGCATGAACTTGCAGAAAAATCACAATTAAATAGTCGAATAAGAGGTTCTTCTGTAGTAGAAGTTGAAGTTGTCTAAAAGGATTGGCATGATTACAAAATTGATTCTTTCTTTAGAAATTCATCTTAATGAAAAGAAACGAAGCATGCTGGATGCATCTTCCAGTTTCTATTGATAGTTTTCCTTCTCTATAAAAACATACCATTGTTACAATAGGAACAGTTGTACTTTGTGTTTCTTCAGTGCCTTGGGTAATTACAGATGATTGAGGATTACCAATCGTAGTAGATGCTGTCGCTGTTATTGTTCTAAAAATCAAGAAAACAGTATGAAAGATAAATGCAAACATAGGCGATGTTTCTATAGCCAATGAGGTCTGAGCTAATATAAAAACTTAAGCAAAGTTGTCCTAATGGTGTGGGTGTGGATGGAAAGAAGATTCATGTCCACATTCATACCTCTACCTACACTTACAGCCACAGTCGCGCTCTATTAATCGCACTTCCAATGACCATAGTTATTTTATCATAGAATGTTGTTTATCATTCGTGTCACTTCTGATAAGTACGGAGCTTGGTAAAACTAAAACACAACGACGAAAAAGACTGCTGGTTTAGTCAGAAGTAAGAGAAGCTCGTGCGATCGCAGAGAAAAATTATTTTGCGCCTAAGACAAAGAGCGCTTATAATGTAAAAGAATTTATTTTACTCCGAAACATTTGTAATCGTTGATTAGAGATGGTTAGAAATAGAATAAATAATCAATCAAAATATAGATGAATTTCACATAGCAAGAATACAAATACAACAAATTGCATGCTATAGAAAGTATTCTCACATATCTTGATTCTCTCAAGCGCCATTCATTTAATACTTTACTAATAAGATTCAAAAACTCAACTTACAACGTTGTTGCCACAGTAGTTGTTGTTGGTATAGGAGTAGTTGTCGTTGGTATAGGAGTAGTTGTCGTTGGTATAGGAGTAGTTGTCGTTGGTATACGAGTAGTTGTCGTTGGTATAGGAGTAGTTGTCGTTGGTATAGGAGTAGTTGTCGTTGGTATAGGAGTTGTTGTCGTTGGTATAGGAGTGGGCGTCTGTAAACAAACACAAATATTGACAAAATAAATATTCAAGTTATCTTTCAAATATACTGAATACATACTGCAATAGATATAGTTGTCGTCACAATAGACTCTGTAACACAAAATAGATAAAAAAATTAAAACATTTTATTCACTGATGAAAAGAAAACATACCACAAGATTGATCATAGATCTTGATTTCATCTAAACCAAAAAAGTGGGTAAAACTTGATCCATCACGTATCATTCTGAACGTAAGCTTAAACGACATTAAATAATATATATTGAAGTTATCAACTATCTGCATCCAGAAGAGACTATAGTATTACTCACTTGATAAGAAGACGATGAAGGAGCTGTAAAGCTACTTCTACTATTGTACCATTTGTTGTCTGACAGTGGTGTCAATTCAATTATTTGTTGTGTGTCTTCACCTGCTTTCCATCCTACTTGTATTTTCGGATTATTTGATGCACCAGGAATATAGTAATAGAAATCAAGACATTGAGTAGTACTCGTACTTTGTTTAACATCAGTCGCATATGTTTGATCAAATCCACCAGTAACTTGTGCTCTTATATTAGCAAATTTTCCTACAAATGATCAATTTATTCAAGGAATATTAAGATGATATGAAATCTAAGCAAATAACCAACCGATAACACATTGTCCCGGACGACCAGATGTAGTTGGACATGTGTAATTATTATTAGCATAACGTCGACAAAAGTACATTTGCCAACTTCCTGATAGGTAAGGAAAATTGCAGTGTTCATTGTTTGGTGTAGTCAGTGATACTGTATAACAAATATTATTCGATAGTGATCTATATTATCTTTGATTGAGAAAATACTTACGAATGGCAGTAACATCAGACAAGGCCTGAATAGGATTAGAAACAGAAGTAATACCAGTCGCTAAGGCCAAATTGTTGGTTCCGCCCGATGTTAGTGGGAATTGACAATCACCTGTCATATCATTGTCGAAGTTACATTGATAATTTACATTTTGAGAGTAACAAAATGTTAATATCAAAAGTAGAGCTATAAAAATAATAGTGTGAAAATAAAGAAAATCATTTTACATTATGACATACCGATTAAAATACAGAAAACTCTATTTGTCATAGTTGAATAAATCTTCTTCTTATAAATGTACTAGTTTGTATTAATCTAAAACAATTAAAATTTTGTATCGTCATTAGTATGTAACGACATCGCGACTCAATAGTAAGCTGAAATGAATTTACAACATCAATGCTGTTTTGAAAAAAAGTAAAAAGAAAAAGAAGAAAAAGATAAGTTGTTTTATATCTGTTTCATTAGGCGAAAGACGACTTCACACTACGGATCTTTTTATCTTATCTATGTATATACACAAGGGTAGTCCAAAGTCGTTTATCATCAGCTTTTGAAAGGTAGAAGAAGAAGAGACAACAAAGAAAAAATTGTGTGATATCTTATAGTTACAAATGACTGATATGTCTTTTTGAAATACGAAATTAGTCAATGAACTACGGTGAAGTATGACTAATACTCTTCATACAGATCTTACAGGACTAGTACAACTTAATTAATAAATCTATGATCAACTTAAATAAGACAGAAAGATATATGTTTTCCACCAGTCAAACTAGAAAAGTAATTTCGATCAAGAGTCATGCTTGACTAAGTGTACGGATAGTAAATCTTGAGTTAAACATTAAGAAAGTCAATAACCAATTTCGATCATACTTGTTTTTATTCATTTATTGGAATACATATGAAAAAATCATTATGCTTTGAAATAAGTATGTGCTGTAATATCACCTAATTCTTGTTGTAGATTTATTGATGAAGAAGATTCGCAATCATTCGTGATAAATGTTCTAGTTTTTTTTTCTTACATGAAATACATGAGAAATTGTTACGAAATTCTTTGCATTGGAACGCAGTCGGTAAACATCTTGATAAAATGTTAAGGTGCATCGTCATGAAGTCATCTTTTTATTTATTTTACTTGTTTATCAATGAAAAGACATGATCACAAAATATATTAATAATTATTTAGTCTAGTTTATTGATTTAATATTAGTTTCACATGAGTCACGTAAGTGAACTTTATGCGTAGATATATACGATTTTTTTCTCTCTTCTGAAATTATATCTACCGTGCTTTTTAATCAATAACATGTCGGTCGTTTTGCTTCTTTTTTTTACAATACGAATTTGTTGATATCTGAAAAAAAATCATATATTAAATGAATTCCAATATTCGTTAGTATTTCTTATCGAATTCATTATTCGAATGTTATCATTTTTTTAGTTTTCTTTTGTAACAAGAAAAAGAACTCCATAATATTTTTGATATTGTTGTTCTATTGTTTTTCATGGCTGCAGCTCTCTTACTCTGTCATTTATGTGTAACGCAGATAATAGCATGCAGTTAGCTTGTGTGGAACTTAGAATCAATAAGTTTTATTTTGTTAGTCAAAAAATAATAATATTTGATCATTCGAAATTGAATATTATAATTTGAAAAGTCGATTGTATTCTTTCTGACATTCTTAAACAAAGGAGAGGATATTATGATCAAAAATTAGATTCGGTTTCGTGCAATGGAAGTTAGAATTAAAAATGAATTTTACTTTTTTTTCCCGATTTTATTTATTAAATATGAACAATTGCATTAGAATAAAGATGAGTAACCAAAAGCAGTACTTTTTTTGTTGAATAGATTTTCATACAATTTCTTCTCAATTTTGAATCAAGTTATTAATCGATTATTCAAAAGTTTATTCTTAAAATAAGTCAAATGGCTGAGAAAAAACGAGTAAAAACAATACTGAAAAGAGTAAAGTCAATCCAGAAAATACTTCTATCACCAAGAATGATATCAGTGTCTGACTAAAAACCAATTGATTTCATTGAAATATCAAAGCTCTGTTCAAGATCTGCATTAAAATAGCTACGTTTAGTCCTTCTTAAAGAAAACAAAAAGTCATCAACACTAATCAACAAAACTGAAACACGGTAACTAAATGAAAGAGTAAGAGCTACAACCAAATGTTGTGGTATTGCTCAAGGCAGAAAAACGCATAGTTGAAAAAAAATATATAAGATATTTTATTACTCTCTGGGAGACGTAGCTGTCAATTCACTTGTGTTCTTCGTGGTTATTATCGTTGGAGATTTGATGTAATCGATGACGCGCTTATCGGACCAGCAGAGAGTAGAGCTCGAAACAGGACACTTTTTCATGGCTCTGTTCAGAATTTGTTCAATGTGTGTGTGAATACATCACATAATGTGACTTTTTCTACCAACTATAATATATCATTCATTGGTTTTTTCCAGTGCTCATATATGTATATATGTAATGCATACACCCCTGGGCAAAAGTCTTTCCCCCCACCTCTTTTTTCGGCAAGGTTTTCTCTGCTATTATAAGGATAAAACATGGTGTTGTTCGGGCTATATAAAAGAGGACCCTAATAATCCCTAATCGGCCCGAACAACACCATGTTTTGTCCTTATAATAGTAGAAAAAGCCTCGCTGAAAAAAGAGGTGGGGGGAAAGATTTTTGCCCAGGGGTGTATATGAATTTGTCTTTTCCCATCATATGCTTGCTAGTGATTTTCTCAATTGTTGTGATCATACATACATACATACACATGTTCTTCTTACTTTCTTCTCCAACGTTTACGAAATCAGTGTTATTAAATAAAACTGAACTCGCGTTCAACGAAAACTTACCGGTCCGATACGACCCAATGTGGCCCAGACATTGGTTAAGCTCGGTTCGGGTCCGAAGAAAGTTTCATTTACAAAGCGATTTTTTCCAATGGAATTTGAACATTACTTCGGTAATTGCTAACGTACTTGAGATTAGATCACTGGTTGCCATGATGAGTTTGATTAGCTCAAATTGTCAACATTCAAATAAAGTTTTCTTGCTACATTTACATGACTGCTAGCTACCTCAACGGATGATAAAATTTGAATAGAAAGTTGCGCTCAGAAATATAGTTCAAAATATACAGGACTACCCTTTTTCAAAAAAGTAATATACTTTCTATAGACTTTCTCCTTAATCCATGTTGAACACTTAGATAAAGTGTTATTTGCCGCTCGCATTTTCAACGATGATTTTTTTTTCGATAAATTTTTTCGACCAATTACATTCTCATGGTAATTAACATATCTTATACACTACGGAACATTACTTGTGCCGGAGAAATACGATTGGCTTAAACAATCACTACGATTTATCATATTAATCGTATTTGAAATCCACCTAATTTTTCGGTTGTGAAAATTTTGAAATAACTTCTGTTAGTTCAAACGGACGTGAAGTTTAGTTGGAAGGATAAAAATGTCTGGCCGGGCCGTCAAAAAGTCTGATTTGTCTGCTCCCAGAGAAAAGTTTCCTTGGGTCTGATCGGAGGATCTGTTTTGACGCCTGAATCACATCTACTATTTGTAAAATTTCTTCGAACAATAAAACATTGTAGAAATGAGTATGACGATAAGTTTTTGCAAACATAAAGACCTATTCTTTCTGTATTTTTTTGTTTCAGATTCTAAGCAACTAATCAAATATCTCAGAAATCTCTTAGCAGATTACAATTCAATATTCATTTTCCATATTTTGTTGTAGATTGTCGATATGATTCAAACTGTTTCAAACTAAGTAATAATTTATGTAGTCTAATATCCATTTCAAAATAAAAGGTAATTGAGTATGTTTGAAATAATTTTTGATAGGAACAGGATAGGCATCTCCGATTTTGATCGTTTAAAAGAGGAAATGAAACTGCATCAAATTTGAAGACCAAATTTTTCTAACAGGTTCTCTGAGAGGCACCTGCCAAGTTTCTTAAACGCAAAACATTGTGCAATGTAAAAGTTTTCAAAGTTTAATTTTCACTAGTGCCCCAGAATGCTAGACTAAAGATCAATAATCTACGCAAATCCGGTGTTAAAAGGTTACTTTCACAAAAAATCGACTTTTATCCTAGCTAGGTTTTTGATGAAAAATCCATCTTCGTAGCTTACCGAAAAGTTTTAATTTTTTAAAAAGCTTGACCGGTAGCCCTAAGAAAAATTCTCAGAAAAATCTTACATTCAAGTTTCAGTGCAGTTTCATTTCAACCTTTACACAGTGAAAATTGTGGGCCTCTATCTCGTTCCTATCAAAAAATAATTCCAAAAATACTCATCCGCCTTTTAATTCGAAATGGTGGTTAGTTGACAAATATAGAATATGATAAAAAGAAAGGTGAAAGAATGAATAGATTACCCAGTGAAAAATATTTGCTTCAAAGAACGTGAAAGAACGCGTTCCAAAATGAAACCATTAAGAACACATTCCATGTTTTTTGGAATGCGATCTTAAGTGTTCCAGCTTTTTTGGAACGTTTGCTTTTCTCAAAAAAACAGCTAACGTTTTTTGGAACGTATCCTTGGTCGTTATTGTCTGAATTTAGATTCACTATAAGAGTCCTCGAAGAGAAGTTCAGACATAATTTTTTGAAAGATCGATTCTGGTGCAACTCGACGAGCTCTATCCAATGGCGTGCTCTAATTTCTCGTAGCTCAAACTGATATTTAAAAAAACTTTTTTGGAATCAGGACTGTCAGTTGTAAAGTATGACTAATTGAAGGTTCTACCATTTTTGGCATCAGTTTCAGGGTGCCGTACTTCAGAGCTGTCATTTTTGAATCAAAAGTGACGTTAAATTCAGATGAAAGCGTTCATCAGTCAAAAGAATTCATTCTCAGGTGTTTCTCAAGAAAATGTTAAAAAAGCGGTCTCATTTCGATGGAATCTTATCTTGACTGTTTCGAAATAGAATTGGCAGAGACACGTTGTATTGGCTCATGGAACGGTTCAGAACGCTTTCTATCCAGATAGAGAACAATTTTTGAACTGAGAAGAAAGCATTCCGTACTAGTGTGGAACAGTAAAGAATGAGTTCCTTGAGATTCAGAACTTTTCTTTTTGTTTGTGAAAACGTTCGCTAAGCTGTAGAACACATTCTTCATGTAAAAGACAAGTCTCTACATTTTTATGAATGCATTCTCTTCTGTTATTTTTAGAAATATTTTTCACTGGGTAATCCAATATGAAATTTTATGTCTCATATCATTCCTGCGGTACATTATGTTTCTGAATTTTATTAATCACACAAGCAAACACAATAATAACAAATACATCTGGAATAATGAAAAAAATGACTTAAAAAACGTATCTTTTTGTAGAATCACCATCTGATCTGCCTTTTCTTTTTTGCAGTTGAATACCGTCCCTATGTTTGTGGTTCAGATCGAAATGGTCACTGTTCCTTTTTCTATGACGTATGAAAATACCTCCGATGATTAAAAGCAAAGCAGGAATACCAAGACCAAGTGACAGACCAAGACCTAGACCCAAATTATTAGATGATGCTAAAAAGAGAAATTAAAATAGTGGAAAAAAACTATGAATCATTTTGTCGCTCACATGGAGGCGCAGCTGTCGCGTCATCTGGTTTTGTTGTTGTTACTGTTGCTGGAGATGGAGATGTACTTGTTGAACCAATAGGTGGCCCGAATACACCTAAAAAATTTCAATCATTACCTTATGTTTTTCATATTTCTTTTTTTCATGCTGTGTTACTTACTTCGACAATTTCGGTTGTATACTTCGATACTGTCCAATGCAAAATAGATTGTTTTGTTCAATGCAGGATCAAAGGTTCGATTGCCATTTGTTACTTCAAAATGAAACATCAACTAAAAATATCAAGACATTGATTTCACATCAGTTTCTATTTCAAAACAATATTACAGTATAGTTCATAAACGGCGCATTGAATGTTACATTTCTTGAATACCAACGATTTTCTACCATATCAACAGCTGAGACTTGATCAATTTCGATTTCATTATCAGATTTAATGAGGACCGAAATTCGTTGACCCCAGTCAAGTTGATCATAAACAGTGATGTAATACCAATATAGAAGACATCGTTCTTCAACAGATTTCTGTATCATCATTCCTTCATTAATCGACTCAACGATAGTTTTATCTGATTCCCAAGCGCCAATAGTGATCAAACCATAATTGCCTAAAAAAGAAGAATTATTGATGTATAATTTGCAGAGTCTGTATTGATAACATTCGATGAAACTAAAATTGTAATGAATACTTGAAATTTCAGTATTTTATCAGTTCTTGTACCCCTTATAGAAAATGCATCATTTTGACTATCTTGATTAGATTCTTATATTAAGTGTTGTGTTTCCTTGAAACAATAGCTTTACCTAATGTACAATTTGCTAACACTTGATTCTTAGTTGGACATTGATTCATGTAGCAAAAATTCAAATCCCAACTTGTTGTATTTGTACTATTATCTATTAGTGGTCGATAAGGTATATCGCATGTTTCATCTAAAATACTCATTTATTGATAGAAACATTTTTGAATGAAAGAGAAAGATGAACACTTACTAATAGAAGTAACATCAGAAAGAGGAAATCGAGGTGGTTCACTGATGA